GGGAGGAGGAAGGGAGGGGGGAGGGAGAGAGGAGGGGGAGGGGGGGAGGGAGGGAGGGAGGAGGGAGGGGGGAGGAAGGGAGGGAAGGAGGGAAGGGGAGGAGGGAAAGAGCGAGAGAAAGCCTCCTGATGGTCCTGGGTGATATAAGAAAGCAAACCAATCAAGCCATGGAGAGCAAGCCAATAAACAGCATCCATTCACAATCTCTGCTTTGTGTTTGCCCCAGGGGTCGCCCCCCCACCCCCCATCGTGACTCCCCCTGGTGACAGACTTTACCTGGATCTGTAATGCAGCTTTGCAAGCTGCTTTTGGTCATGGGGTTTTATCATAGCAACAGCAAGCAAACTGGGAGGCTCAGAACAATGCAGTTTTCCAATGTATAGACTAAGTACTATTAAATACTTGATCAACAGATTTTAAAAAAATGATTTTATTCTTATCTTTGGTGACGTTGAAACTTGACATTTCACTCTGAAATCTCACAAGAGAGGAGGAGTGAGCTCCTCTTTCGGAAGTGTTCAAAATGCAGTTCAGAACTGTACCGGCTCATTTAGAATTTACAAAAATCTTTCTTCTCTGCAAAATTTATACAGAGATGGCTATCAAGAAGCAATATAGTCTGACATATCTCTTCCAAAGTCAACCCTAGGAAATCCAAATTAGGTGTAACACTTCAAACAATACCAGAAACACTGAGGCTGATCAAGACAACATCAACCAACTGTTAGACACAAGGAGTGAACATTAGCGTTCCCTTACAGGTAAAAAAGAGACACTGGCTACGGTGAACACAAATTCTATTCGTCAGTCTGCAGGTACAGTTTATTATAGGAACATAAAGTTTACTTTTTAAAACCCTATATATTTGTATACATTCCTATCAAGCATAGCACACACATGTATGGTAGAAAAATATAGAAAGCTACACAGAAAAATTTTAAAAAGCATTTCAACCCCACTGCTCAGAGATAACTACCCATAAGCCACAGACAATTAGCTCTATTTTCTCCGGGGCCTTTGTATGGTTATTTACTCCATCACATCACTGCAAGATGTCAGGGCCTGTTTGCTTCCACTTAGCAGCACACATTACTTAGGAAAGCAAACCGAGGCTCTCTGAGAATATTTCAAAAGGCATTTGCACTAACTACTGCCAAAAATCTGTGTCATCTTTACCAAGTAATGCTTCCTTAAGTAAATTATTAATTTTCAATGAACTACATAAGCTAACTGTTTAGGCTGTCTAATAATCTGCTTGCCACAAGAAGTGCACACCATGTTACTTAAGAATTCTTTCTCTTAGTTCCTTGTGTGGTGATCAATTCAGACTCCCGAGCCTTTTATTCTGATAACTGACTTTTATCAATGAAGGACACATCAATGGCACTGAATATAGGTACATCTACAGCTAACCCCCATTTTATTCCAACTGCATAAGGGAATTTAGGCAGGAACCCATGTGGGCAATCATGGCTATTTCAAAACCATAATATTACTCCTGGGAAAATGTACCCATTAGACAAAATGTATTCAAAAGAAGATTTTCTAAATATTTTGAGCATGTACCCAGTGACATATTCTCTCTCTGGCTTCAAGTAGTCCACGCAGTTAGATGAAGTTACCATTAAGAACTTTCTGACCATGACAACGTGGGGAGGGGCAGGCACTGCTTTAGGCCCCAGTGAGCCTCTCAGGAGACAGTACCGGAACTGCTGAGGAACTGCCATCACTTGCACATACAGCTAAGCACCAGGCTAACCTGGGAAATTAGACAGGAATTCACAGAAGCTCTGTCTACCTTATGCACAGACCAGTTAGAATTAATATGTTGCTGTCCACCCCAGAAGAAAAATGTCCATGTTCATGCTACCTGCAGACATGACACACAAATTATGTTTCTTTTTGGAAGAATATTAATATGATGTGCAATTATTCTCACCATTTGTTTACATAATCCATCCAAATAGTCAGTCAGTGTAACATGAGGTTAAAAATGCGGCTGCACAGATTCGTCTGTGCAGACTGACTGCGTGTCACACTGCAGACTCCCCCGAACAGGGCTCGGCCATAGCCGTTCTTTCCACTGTCCTCGCCCCTTTTTGTTCAAGACACAGAAACACCGGCCGGAAACACCCTGTATCACACACCTGTCTCCCTGCCAAGGTTTGCTGTGTTCCAAAGAAGGCAAGGTTTCATTTTAACAGAACAGCGATAATATTTAAAACAACTCCCCAAGGTATTCTTCCCAGGGGAGCAAAGTCAGGGGGATTTCCAAAAGTCCATTTGCAAAGAGCCAGTTAAGTCACAGGACAAGGACATCTGTGAGGAGTTCAAATGGTTACCTTCTTCTTGCTACTGCTAATAGCAATTTCAATCTAGGCATGCTAAATTAATAACCACAAAAGTGGCCACAAGTGCTTTCTGAACTTGTAGCTGATTGTTCTGATGCAATAAAGAACAAAACATTCAAGCTTTTACCAAATATTTTAATTACCAGGTAAATTTCTGTCATTTTGAGTAATGACGTTTATTAAGGTATTTATAGACTAATTACCATGGGTAAGGAAGAAAGGGTGGTTTAAAAAGCTAACAGGATGCCCACTCCTTACAACACTGTTCTGCTCCCTACCCGATTTAGGAGAGGCAAGCACATGAAAAGAACATTTGATTGAGCATGTAGCTATGTTTAAAGTTACCACTATTTTATGCTGATTAATTTCTTACTGGTCCTGTCTTACTCTAAGTGGTTTTAAAACATTTACAAAGCATCACGGTTACAACTAAGCAAAAAAAAAAAAAAAAAAGGAAGATATCTCGGGGAACGCTTTTGAGGTCTTTGTTCTTATTATGCACTAGAGTATGTGTGTGTGCAACATTTCAATCATGCAGTCAAGTCCACATGCCACCACACTGAATGCTATATTGTGTTTTAGGGTCCCCCTTCTTTGCTT